CTACTAGTAGGTGATGCTGCCCGTGAAGAAGATATCCAACACAACAAGCAAAACATGCTCTGACCAATATTGGACAAGCCCAGTAAATACATCACATTAAATCTTCAGCTAAAATCATCAAAAGTGTGGTGCAGTTCAAGTAGCAAAAGCTCAAGCACAGGTTAATGTCAGGCTAACTTCCCACATCAAGATAATCTGGATTCGTACTGGGAAGCTTGTAAAGGTCTTGCAGACTAATCTTTAACACACAGTTGTTGTCCTCCATCATTCTCCCAAGGCATTCATGGTCTCACTGATGAGAATGAGATGGTGGAGGACAGCTGTCAGAAGGCCAGTCCCACCAAGCTGTCACTAATGTTCAGATGAGATGTGGATGTTGGCTGAATATGTGAACTTACTCTAGACTCCAGGCAACTACAGGGAGCAGAAGAAGGCAATTTCATTTGTGGATGACTTTCCTGAATTTAAAGTATATTTATGCAGTCTATTTATTTGTTGTAGGGGTCCTCAATGAGCCCAGATTTTTTCACAGCTCCCTGTTCCATCTTCTCCATTGAAAAAGAAGATACTGCTTCGTCTTGGCAGGTAACAGCATGGACTCAGCTGTTTGTACCTCTGCTGTTTCTTGGACAGCACCAATATGATGCACATGGGCCAGAAGCCTTCAGTGTTTGGTGACTCTGCCTGGAACAGGTCTTTGTCATCCGTCTTCTCAGCAATAAGCTACTGCAAGTATTGGGAGCTGTCTGCTTGCTATGGGACCTTGACCAACATTTTAGGCCTCAGTCCTTAAATTCAAGATACTGACTGACCTGGGTCCCTGCTGTGGGATGTAAGGAATGGCTGACAGTTGCTTAAAAATGTAGCATGTGTCTGCAAAATAAATCCTGCCTGGTGGGTATCAGGTCAGGACGTTGTGAAGGGAAGGAAGAGAACTATGTGTTGAGCTCTCCTAGCATCAGTGCAAACATTGTTGCCTGCTGTGCCAAAAGCCAGGCATCCTGAAGTTTCTTCTAGTTGTGGTTTTCTTCTCATGCTTTCTATAGTTAAATACATGGTAATACATAATATTAAAAAAACAAACAAACAAAAAAAAACAACCCAAAATTCCCTAGAATTTGCCAAATCCACACTTGGGAGTATGTCTGCTGCTGGCTGTATCCGTCTGCACACTCCTTTCTTTGTCTTGGCACTGGTAGTCACCTGACTGGTTCAGCCCATTAATCCAGTAGAAAACTAACCCAGCATAAAAGGAGGTAGAATTTTGGGCTTTGTTTACTTTTTTCTGGGCTAGTGATCTGCCTTATGGCTCCAAGAGGGGCCAGGAGAAGACAGTGAGCTGCATGAGGAAAGGGGACTGGAAGAGGTTGCAGCAAAGGGTTGGATTTGCTCAGCCAACTTTCCGGGTTATTTTCTTGGTGCACAGCAGGAAAGGGCCCAGACACAGGGGCCAGGTGCAATGTGTGGGGCTGAGGGCACTGCAGGAGAATTGCAGCAGTGGTAGTCCTGGGGGTGAGTAGAAGCTTTCCCTCTGGGGATTATGTTCACCCATTTGTTACTCAGCCCTCCTCTGCTTTCAAAAGCATACTGCAAGTGCTAGGATAAAACCTCCAACCCAGCTGTCTCTCAGCTACCAAAATGTCTCCTTTGCCCCTTGGCCAGCTGTCAAAACTTTCCTGGCCTTCCTAGAACAAGTGTCTTAGGGAATGTTTCCTTTGGTGGATAAGAACTGGGGGGATGCTCTGGAGCTGACTATGGGACAGCATGTTCAACTCCAGGTGCCTCTTCTAAGCCAGCTCCTGAACCATCCTCTTAGTAACGTTCTCTCTACTTGGTGTGCTCTGGAGGGTGAGATTGTGGTTTGAGGAAAAAAGTGCTCCAGAATAAAAAATTGTGCAACTCAAGAGCCAAGAAACAAGCCTTAATTATTCAACTAGTTTGGAACACTTTAAAGTATCCCTATAAATAGGTGAAAGGGATGTTTGTCAGCTACAAAGAGATTATCCTGCAGTAATATTTCTTGTCTTATTTTATGATGATGCTACAGAATACAGTCCCTCAGGTAACCTCATTAATGTTTATAAACAAACCCCTTGTTTTATACTTTTGGTTTGAGAAGGTAGAAATAAGGAAAGAGGCTAGTAAGAATGATTTTATCATATGTGCTTTGGAAAGGACACAGCTGTAAGGTCTCTATAAGCATTTGATATACATGGGCTAACAACTGGATTGGGTGCTTGCTAGACTGCCTGAGATGTACCCTAAGGGAAAAACCAGGCAGGACTTTGGCTAAAATCTTGGGTGAAATTCTGCGTGGTTACCAGTGGATCTGTCAGCAGGACGTTGGCACCCTTCTGTGTCTCATCAGTTGTTTTGTTTTGATCTCTTTCAGCAAGGGCAACCTGTGGCCATATGTTGTTATGGCCACAAGTGCTTCCACAGGGCAGTATCTGGTAAACTCTGCTGCCTGACAGTGCCTGAGCCCAGGGTGGAGGTTTCTTTTCACTATCTGTTCCTTAAAGAAGACAACTGTTTCTTCTGGCTATCAAAACAGGGTGGCAGTTACATAGAACAGCCCATAACAGTATGGGATGGTTTCTGAGTCTTACAGCTCCATTCTTAAAAATAACAGCTCTTTTTTCCAATCCAACCAACAATTGTGGTCAGCCACGAATACCAGTTTAACCATTTGGCAGCTTCCCTATAGGAAACAGCTCTTTCCAGAGAGCCAAAGGAGCCCTAGAGCCACACTGGGATGATTTCAGTCAGCAGAACACACTTAACAGATTTCCTTGTATGCAACCAGCCTCTTTGATACCAAGCAAATCCTGGAAAGCTAATAAGAAGCAAACTGTAGAAGTGTGTAAGAACAAATAATTCAAGTGCGTTATTTGATGAACGAATGGTAAAACTTTGTTCCTCCCCACACAAACACGCAGTTTATTGCTCTGGAGTTCCTTCTCCATTGTGTGTCGGGACTGTCAGCAGTTTATTTTGGGCTCGGTTCCACTACGTGCAGTAGTAGCCGGCTCCGCAAACACTGCACTGCAAGTGGAAGCGCCCCTTACGGCTCTAGGGCAGAAAGCAGCAATAACGGGCTATTGTCAGCCGGGGGGTCCCGCCCGCCCCCGAGCTCTGCCGGGGCTGCTCCTCGTCCCCGGCAGCAGGGCCGGATCCCCAGAGGGGCCAGTGCCGGGGCTGGCACAGCTGGAGCCCGCCGGTCTCCGCTAGGTGCCGAGGGTCCCCCGGGGGTCCCGCTCTTCCACACGTGGCGGGGGCTCCGCGG